TATTACCTGTATGTAGATTACATATAATAGGTATTACAGTATGAATAACACTCTAAAGAAAATGCATGTGACACATATCCTCACTCCACAAGTAATTTGCCATTAAAAAGTTAACATAATGCAATGCATACCCTCATGCATGTAATGTCCCTGCTGGATTCTGCCACTTGCAGGGAACTATAGAGTTCTGGACTAAGATGGATATTTAGTATTGAGCTCTGAAGAGACCGCAAAAGCCCATCAGCTCTGACCCTATGACATTCCACAAGAAGAAAAATAAAAAGAAAAAGGAAAAAAAATCAGAACACTGCTAACAAAGAGCAGCTCTCAAATTAAAAGATAAATACTGATTCTCAAAATCTCACCTAAGAGGCTGTTTTAGCTTGCTCTGAACAGAGGCCTTGGTGCAAATGGAGACAAACAGGAAGGGTACTGGGAAACACCAAATTAATTGGTCAGGAGCAGGCACTAGTGAACAGATGTTATTTATTCTTTGAGGAATAATCTGACATTCAGGATTCTTGCAGTGAGAAGTAAAGTTACTGACCTGCAAGATTCAACTACTGTCCCTGAAGCTGTCCATGGAGAAGTGAGGGAATGAGCAGCAGACAGCTTGAGAGCTGCAGTCACAGCCAGAGCAAAAAGAGGCATTCGGCTTAAAATCAGATGTCATAAAAAATACAGCAAGGAGTACAACTTCAGGATAGAAAGACTTCCAAGAAAAGCCAGAAGAGAAAATCCAGTCTGGCATTAAAAGCGTTACTGCAAAATTGCTAAGGCTGAGCTGTCCGCAAGAGACACTTCATGCATTCAAGTGACGCAGTCAGTGTGAGATGTAATGTGCTATGTCACCATTTCTCACCTCTTGGGCTCTATAAGAAAGCTAGCAGGCTGATGGAGAAATAGCATGGTTTTCCACATAATGCTTAATTATTTAAGAAAGTGAAAGAAATTACCTAGAGAAACACCAAGTTGGGTTTTTTTTTCCCCACATGATAAAAAATGAACAAGTGGAGAAGCAGTCAGGAAAACACAGTTCTGCTACTGCTAGGAAAACCCTGTTTAGAGTTCTTATTAGTATCAGTTCCAGAAGATAAGGCTATTTTCAAGTCCCTCAAGACAGAAATCCAAATCTCAGGCAATCAGGAGAATAATAGTGATAAGCTTTTTAAAAATTCCTAGCAAGAAGAGAGAAACAAGAAGGGAAATGCAAGGGAAAAGACTCCTTAACACATTGGCAAAGGGTGAATTGCAAAGGCTAGCAGTGAATGTGTGTTTATTTCAGAAAAACTACTGAAGGTGGAATACATGAGACTTTTTTTCTCTAGAGAAACAGAATAGCAAGCAGGAGACCAATGTCAGGGCTAACAGATACGGAAAAAAAATGGAATAAATGGAAGAGAAAACCATCAGCTCTTCCCAAGGCAACCCCAGTTACCAGAACTATTCATGAGGTGAAGAATTAGATTTCCAGGACGGAGAATATACTTGTCTTGGGCTGCAATATCATCAGCACAAGCACTGACAGTGACAAATGTATACAAAAAAATGTGCTATGGGAATTTCTAAAGAGAAATCAAGGTACATTCAATTGTATGAATATGACACAATAGGAACCAAAAGGTATTTGTCACTGCAATCAAACAAACCTGATTCCAGGCTGCCAAGGCCCTTTGTGACTTCCAACTCTTTGATTAAACTAAAAAGTTATCAACTAAGACATCTGCCCTCAAAGTAATGTTTACAGAACTAAAGGTGTGGTTCTCTCCAGCAATCAGATAGTGAATGGTTGATAATCTGAGGACACATAGAACTTGATTCCTTATTTACTTTTTTTTTTAATTAAAATCTTTGCAATAAATCTGCCCACAGTTTTCCTGAACAGTTTTTCTGCCTAGCAAGCACTGACACATACAATAGAAAGTCTGAAAATATGACCTGCTTTTTGACTGAAGCATACCTTAAACCCACTGTTATCAATAACCCTCTGAAGACAAGAAGTGAGTTAGGCTAATAATCTGATGAAGCATGGCAGGTACTTCTCTTAGCTTATTCTTAAATGAATACTAAAAAAGTCTATTGCCACCATTTTTTTCAAGAGCAATCATCTGCTCATCCTTTAAGTTCTTCTGTAAGGTAACCAGAGTGGCATTGTCTTCCCATCTGTCCTCAGTGCTTAGTGGGGTTTTCTCTTTCAAAATTTAGCCCCTGATAAACAAAAATATTACTTCTTTTACATTCCATATAGGTTCTTATGCACTCATATCAATACGCCTTGACATCCTGCAGCACTTAATTCAGCCTGTATCAGGTCTTTGCCCTTTCACTCTCTTCTCAGGGGGACAATCATTCTTTTTTCTTTTTTCTTCTCAACTTATTTTTCATGTGTTTATTTTAACAGAGAAGGGAATGAATAGTCTGTAATGGTCCCAAGTTGCCTGGGAACATCATTCAATCTTAAATCAGATCAATTCTGTCAGACATTTTTCCAGCAGATGTCCTAGTACAAGCAGTTAGTGCTGATTAGTCCTATGACTGACATTACACAGAAGGTTGTGGTGTTCTGGTGTGATCTTATAATAAAACAAAGCTTTAATGTGACATACCAAGACTGACAGACAAAATAAAGACCATCATGCACCTCATCAAGTTCTATTCCAAGTTTTCTTTCTTGTCTTTTCAAATGCCCAATGCTTGCATGTTTAAAACAAGCAAAACCTGTCCTCCTCATGAAAAGGAGGTGAAGTAGAAGTTCTTATCAAATACAGGTGATGAAAAACGAGCCATAATAATACACCAAGAACAGCTGTGTAATAAACCAAGGCCTTAATAGGCAGCAAAGCAAAATAAAACTGAATTAAATAATAATAAACATATGTCAAAGCTGCCACAGATGTCACAGAGAAGGTGGAAGAGAGCATTTCATAGCTTAAACATTTCAGTCAAGAGCACAGAAGTACACTTTATAGTATGCATTTGACTATTGTCAGAGCCTTCATTCATCCTTGGTCCAAGGAACCTCCTGACATCCTACTGACGTGCTCAGACTACGACCTGCACAGACGTCTTGGAAAGCTGGCAGTGTTGTTTGCGTATAGCTCGTCGTGGCAAGCATCAGGGGGATCCAGACTGTCCCTCTCCCTCACCATCCCTCTTGCCGCAGGGCAGGTTCCCTGCTGATATCCTGTCCTTAAGACATCAGGTTTTTCAGGCACGATATAGGCTGGAAGGCACCAGCCTGAGACAGGAAGGTCAGCTGTTTCAATGACTCATTAATTAGAGCTTTAACTTCAACATAAGGACAGGCCTAACTGTACTTGGCAGCACGAATGAGGCAGTGATTCGTGGGAGTATGTGCATCTGAGCCAAAGAGCCAACAGACATCAGGGAACGGAGTACAGAGTGCAACCTCCTCACTAAATGGAAAGCTCAGCTTCACTCATCTCACAGTAGGTGCCAAAAGAGTTCAGTTGAAACACAGCCCAGTTGTGCCTAATTGTCTTACTTGGCTATAAACTGAGTTTAGCATGACTAGCTTAGATGGCAAGTGCTGTCTCTGAAGTTAAGCAAGACAAAAGCCATTGCTAGTTGCAGAGCTCAAGGATCTTGATGGCTGATCTTATGCTTAAGACAATACTCCTTGATTCAAGCCTGTGTGCCTTCCTCTTCTCTACAGCTGTGCACAGTTACATTATTTACTTGGAGGAGATCCTTATATCTACCTGAGTTCTCATAAACCTGTAAACTAACTTCCTGGGATGTATCCAAACTACTCTAGTTACCTTTCATAATAAAAATCAACCAAAGACAAAACAGGGTGGATATTCTGATCTCAGAGACTCAAGGTGAATGCTTTAACAGCTATTAGAAATGTTAAAAGCAAAACAGACAAGGAGGATCTTTCAGTTGTAAGAACAAACCCATGACTTTGCAGTTCTTCACATTGTACAAATAAAAACCCAAAAGTATCAAAGACCCTACAGGCTGATATAGTGATGACTTCCAAATATCTAAGCTGAATAAAGTATTATTCAAAAAAATTCACTCATAAATGCTTACCAGTGAATAAACTGCAATTTACCTTGCTACATTGTATAAGTGTTTCTTTGCATAAGCTTCCATTTAAGATGACCGAGAATGACATTCTGGCTATTTATTACTCCTTCCTTTTATGTATCTTGCTCTTTAACAGCCAGTGATATTTTAAGTTCACTTCACCTTTAAAGCATCGGTCTAACGCTAATATATTCCTGTCGCACTGCTGCAGTCAATACTGCAATGTATATTTTAATAAGAAAACCCATTCATTAAATACCCCACCACCCTTTAAATTATTTCTACTACTAAGCATGCTTTGCCCTTATGATTTTTATTTATAATGCTCTGCTTCCACTGCAACTTCTTGAGCAGCTTCCAGAGCCTTGTGGAAACCTGAAACAAATGTGTATTCCATATCCCTGCTGGTGGAGGACCTCTAACATTTTGTGCCATGTAATGCTCAAAGCAGAAAGTCCTGCCAGTGTTTCCTTTTCCACGTCTGGTTTCTGGAGAATTGGACAATAGTACAAACAGTATGATGGGGTAGAAATTCTTTTGCTCATTCCAAACTCAATCCATGCACCACTTTTCATCGTGATCCAATTAATTCAACTGCTTAAAATTCAGCATATATTTAAACATGATCACTGCAATGGGATGACTTTGACTATTGCCTCTATACTGCTGTATCATTCTTCACACACTTGTAAAGTCTTTTATTTTTGCAAATCTTTTCTAAGATACAAGATAATAACAGGTTTCTTATGATGGCATAAAAATCTTTAAAGAAAAGACAGTGAAAAAGAGGATTCAGTCACAAACATTTTGGTTCCTAAGTTATAAAGGAATTAAAGAAAATATGTTGCTTGTTTTAAAGATTATTCAGGAAACTCTTCTTTCCCAAAGTAACATTTTTTAACAAAATGACTTCCAAGTACTGACTTTAGCTGAGCCATAAAGCATGCAATATATTCATGAATATACCTTATCATTTCAGCAGTAGGTTATGCTTCCATAGCTAGTTTTAAAAGCAGCAGTTCCCAAAGTCATAATTCTTTTTTATTCTGCATTTATTTTGAATTGATGTCTATAAATAGGACTTGCTGCTCTGGTTCTTTATAATTATTGGAGCTGCTCCCAGACACCTGAAAACGGTAATCTATAACTCTGACTTGCTGTAGGTCTTAAAAGTATGACGATTAGTATATTTAAACTGACATATTAGTGAGATGCTGATGCTGAAAAATATTAATGTAGGCCATAATTAAAATACGTTCAAGCACAGTGGCTTTCAAATGCATAAATTTTCTTTGCTTCTAGTAGAAACGTGTGGGTTTATGGGTCATAATTACCACTAATGCTATTAGTTACAGCAGAGTAGAACAACATACTGAGAGCTGATGCAAGGTCATAAGTGACTCTATTTAAGCTGAAGAAAGCAAGGATTAAATAGCATCTCTTTGGAGAAGGAGCACAGTATGATCCCATACACTCAGACTCTGGAGTTCTACAAAAACTGCATTTTTAGTCACTTATTAGCAAATTAAAAGTCCCTATTCATACAGTAAAGCCCAGTAGAAAAGAGTAAGTGGTTTGCTATTAAAGACAATTCAGTTCAACAATCAATACTGACTAATCTTATCCATTTATTAAAAGAAGCTTTCTAAGCACATCACAGAAAGGGTGCAGCCTTTTAAAAATGAGAATGTCAAGGGTTGTACTCTTATCATAACAGAAAGCAATGGTAACATCTGCTAGTCTTTATTGCTGGCTATATCCCGTTTCCCAGGAGATTTTGGAAAAGTTAAAGACATTGGCAACACCTCTACTTCTCTGTGTATGAGGAGAGGAGGAGAGCCTGGAATAAACAAGTCTGAAGTTTCAGAAGAGATAAAAAATAAGAGTTGTTCTTCATCTAAAAGGCTATTGCAATCTGTCATCACAGAATGAGACTTCCAAAAGATATATTTCAGCCTTTCAAAATGTCAGTGACCTCTCTTTCCTGGAGACTCTGCTTAAGGTTTCCCTCCATGCAGCCAAGAACACTTGCAGCCTTGGCAGTCTTGTTCAAGTCCTCTTGGGCTGCCATTTAAGACTTTCTGCTTTGGAGAAGGGTTATGTCTTGAATGCTCAGGGTTGGCTCTACACCATGTGGCAGCCTTCTTCATCAAGGCTCCCTGGGCTCCTGGGGTGAAATAAGAGGAAACATTTTAATGCTGCAAAGTATACATAATCCAATAGAAAATAATTAAATTGGAACATTTTTAACCAGCTTTAATTGCAATAAATCCCTAGCACACATCCCAGCAAGACCACCGAGCTAATTTTATTAAACCCTTTGGTATTTCTGGGTGAAATGTGCTGTGACAGAGTTATACTAATTGAACCTTGGACAAAAGGTCCTGGTACCACTACAGAAACATCCAGAAGAACATGTAATTCTTTTGTACTAGAGATGTTTTAACCAGACTATTACCTGATCTCGTCTGCTTTTATTGCTGAACCCAACCCACCTTTGAAAATAGAGAATAGTGACACATGAGACCTATTAGGAAGCCAGGTTGTCCCAAAACAAAGGGAATTCAGCCCTCCTTCTGAGCATCAGGGCCAGCATGATCAGAGGATCTGTTTGTTTCTTCACTTTCAGTCACATCCCCAGTTAGTCTTCACACCTCTCACACTTGTAGAGGCTCCATGATTTTGAGGAAATGCTAACTTGTTCACTCTTGATAATTGCTTTGATCCTGAGGAGCTTCTTTCACAGCAATCCCCTTCTCCTACAAAATGTTCAACAGTGAAACCTGAAAACATACTTTGTCATTCAGGACTCTTTTGTTGGAGGATGCATGTGTGGAGGCAGTAGAAATAGGCAAGTAGGAGCTGCTGCTGCTCTAAAAGAATAGATACGGAAAGACGAGAGAAAATTTTTACAGCATCAGATTCTGTCAGTATTGCTCCTCGCACTGTTTTCCCTTCCCTTCAGCTCAAACCAGTTGCTCTCTGCCCTTTTCACCCTACCTGAATCAGAAATACCAGGCAATCAGAAATACTTTGCTGTAAAAGGCATCTCAGGACTTCTTTGAAAGTATCCTAGGAAACAGCAGGATAGCCCACAGGGCATGAAAACTTCCTTTTCTTGTATGGGAAACAAAGTCTCAGCAATGGTAGAAAACAGAGGAACTCATTGGCTATGGCAGAATTCCACTTGTGTTGGAGAATGGAAAGAAAACTGATAAAATAGACAGTTCAAGTAATTATTTTTAGGAAACTAAGAATCACAGCACATAAATGTGGAAATGAGACAACTGCACACCCACATGCTCTGCAGAGGTGCTCAGTACCATGGATGTCTCCTGCAGATGTTTCAAATAACGCTTCAATTAAAATAATAATTTGAATGTAGAAAGATCAGGCAAGAAGAAATGCTGCATCAAAAGGAGCGTGACCAGCAGGTTGAAGGAGGTGATCCTGCCCCTCTACTCTGCTCTTGTGAGACCTCACCTGGAGTACTGTGTGCAGTTCTGGTGTCCTCAACATAAAAAGGACATGGAACTGTTGGAACAAGTCCAGAGGAGGGCCACGAGGATGACCAGGGGACTGGAGCACCTCCCGTATGAAGATAGGCTGAGAAAGTTGGGGCTGTTCGGCCTGGAGAAGAGAAGGCTGCGTGGAGACCTCATAGCAGCCTTCCAGTATCTGAAGGGAGCCTATAGGGATGCTGGAGAGGGACTCTTCATTAGGGACTGTAGTGACAGGACAAGGGGTAACGGGTTAAAACTTAAACAGGGGAAGTTTAGATTGGATATAAGGAGGAAATTCTTTCTTGTTAGGGTGGTGAGGCACTGGAATGGGTTGCCCAGGGAGGTTGTGAATGCTCCATCCCTGGCAGTGTTCAAGGCCAGGTTGGATGAAGCCTTGGGTGATATGATTTAGCATAAGGTGTCCCTGCCCACAGCAGGGGGGTTGGAACTAGATGATCTTAAGGTCCTTTCCAACCCTAATGATTCTATGATTCTAAGGTAAATCAGCAAAACCAGGTATCAGACTAGGTTATTAGCTGTACAGAGAGAAAGAACCATTTCTTCATATTAAATTGGGTTGGTGTCCTGCTGCCAGCTTAGGGGGTCATGCAGCACTATGGAGAGATAGAAAATTAAACAGCAGATGCAATGATTGTTTTAAGCCTGGTTCTTCCAGACCTATCTGAAAACATAGAGTCTAAGAATAGCCCTCTATTGATTTTGAGTCTTTGGCTGCAGGCTTATTTAGCCTCTGGGGAAACAAAAAGATTGCATTAAATATAATTAAACAAAGTACAGCAAAGAAAATACTGCAGCAAGGTCCTGATCCAGAGCTAATGATAAACTAATTAAATTAAACCAATTAAAGTTGGAAACAATACTCATAATCTGATTATTGCATTTTAAACCTGAAAGAGGAGACTGCATTGTGCGGAAGAGACTATAGCACCAGTACTAAATGCAAGAAGATTCAAGGCAAACTCACCATCTCACCACATTACATCCAAACCAACCTACCACTTGAGAGGCCACGGTACCTGCTAAACCATTTTATCTTAGATAACTTCATACACAACACCCGTATTTTCAATACTGCCACAACGCAAAATATGACAAAATAGGCCAAGATCCAATGGGAGCCTGAACACATGCAGAAAGTATACACACATAGCCATTTTACCAGTAAGAGAAGAGCTGGGTGATCTTGCACCATGTATTAGCATGGGCTACTTCCTCTCCGGACTTAACGGCATGTCAGCCTACAGCCTTGAGAATGACAAAGCTGGGATTTTCCTCATCCCCAGTGAGATGAAATTCTCTATTTAGCCACTTTCAGCTGGGACAGGCATACACTGCTGGTCAGCTGTGCACAGAACTCAGTCCACATTATTGATCTTGACTTCAAATTGCAGCTGATTTACTTGTGTTTTGTTTCAGTGCTGGTGTTTGTGAGAGGAGCAGTTGTGCTGGTTTTGGCTGGGATAGAGTTAATTTTCTCCATAGTAGCTGGCATAGAGTTATGTTTTGGACTTGTGCTGAAAACAGTGTTGATAACAGCATTGATAACACAGAGATGTTTTCGTTATTGCCGAGCAGTGCTTACACGGGGTCAAGGCCTTTTCTGCTTCTCATCCCACTCCACCACCAAGTAGGCTAGGGATTCACAAGGAGTTGGGAGGGGACACAGGCAGGACAGCTGACCCCCACTGACCCAAGGAATATTCCATATCATGAGATATCATGCTCAGTAATAAAAGCTGGGGGAAGAAGGAAGGGGAGACATTTGGAGTGATGGCATTGGTCTCCCTGAGTCACAACTACACGCGATGGAGCCCTGCTTTCCTGGGGATGCCTGAACACCTGCCTGCAATGGGAAGTGGTGGATGAATCATTTGTTTTGCTTTGCTTGTGTGCGCAGCTTTTGCTTTACCTATTCAACTGTCTTTATCTCACCCCATGAGTTTTCTCATTTTTACCTTTCCAATTCTCTTCCCCATCCTAGCAGGGGGATTGAGCAAGCAGCTGTGTGGGCCTTGCTGGGAAAACAGCAGCAAAAGTTATATTCCCAGCTGGGCCTCAGACGAGGAAAAAGTGAGCAAAGAGTTGGTACTTGCTCTGTACAATATTGCATTCACATCTAACAAGGCGTCACCGCAGCATGTTGGCATTTGATAACAAATTTGCTGTTTAATAACAAATAAATTGCTACCGTAGCAGCTGGTATTTCAAATTTAGCCACAGAAGGATTTTTGTGATGTCATTTGCCTAGATTAATGAGGCTGTGAGATCAAACAGATGACTTGAACATGAAAACATCATCAGCCAGCTAGTGAAAAAGTCAAAATTTTACTATATAAAGGCTAGACTAACAGTCTGTCATGCTATTAACAGGAAGAAAAAATTAGAGCTACCTTCAGTTTTAACTGTGAAGTAATTGCTCTTCTCAGTTAGACTTTAAATAAAAGCTGATGTCACTAGTCATACTTTGCAAATGTCTAAGTGGGAGGTTTTGCTTGCAAGCAAGTTATCAGTAGTAGAATCCTATGTCAAGTGAAACAGAGTACTCACACCAAACCAAGTACCGGAGGAAAAAGTTTAAAAAGAAATAATCAGGAAACCAACACAGTTACTTATTGTACATTTTATCACAGTGCAAGTTTCGATATTGAACAAAACTAAACTGCAATGTGAGCAAATTCCTAAATTCAACTGTGTTCAAATTATATCAGTAGCAGATGTATCCCTGGCCAAAAAACTGGAAGACAGATTTCAGTCTGCTCCTCCTATTCTCCAGCTAATTCTTTCTTTAACAAAATGAAACAAGGACTGTTGCAAGGTAGAAGGAAGTTACACAGAGGTGGGGAAGTTTGCTTGGGATGGTTCAACTCAGTGGTCACCCAAGGAAATTAAGTAAGACTAATATTGAATATATATTTTACTAGTGCTACAAAAACCATATTTTAATGCAGTATTTGTAAATATTTCTTAAAGTACTAAACTGATTTTTTTTAAATGTGCTGATGTGACATCACAAAATGGTTTTTGTTTTCTATTGAAACAGTGGCAACAGTAGCTCATTCCAAGGCTTTCCCTGCCCACACAAACCTCTTTTTTCCCCCTATGTGGTAAGCACCATCAACCTTTTCTTCTGCTGCTTAGAGGTAAGGAGTCAAGAAAATGAAACCAAGGACAGAAACAATTAATACTACAAGGCTGCAAAAAATGAAGTGCCAGTCTCCAGTATTTAAATAGTATTGGTGTGGTGCATTAAAGCTCAGTGTTTGAGAGAAAGAGGGACTCTAGTCTCCCATTAACTACTTTGTCTCACGCACTCATACATTGACAAGCAGAAAATTCAGAGAGCAGCCCTGTGGTTTCTGGTACGCCGAGATCATACTGCCTGCAAAGTGGGCTGCTGAGAAGCCAGGAACAGCCTCCCGACTTGCTCTTCCATCTCTGTACATCTCAGCGTATGGCGGTGATGCTCACATCCCAGTTGTGCACTGATTTGAGGCCCGCTCTCATGACTGAGGATTTGGTCTTGGATTGTTATAAGCAAGTGTTTTCCACTGCATGATGGCTTTTATCTGGCAGCAATGAAATAGTAACATTAAGGTTAAAAATTATCCTTAGAACATTTTGTGCTGTTAACTTCATTTAAGGCTGAATAAATTTCACTGGCAAATGAAAACATCACTTAGGAAACATTTTTAAAATAAGCCACAGTAACAAATCAAGGGCAGCATCTAAAATATGGACAAGTTCAACTCAGATATTTTTCTCCACTAAATCCATGTTATTTCTTCTTCCCAGTTTGTCACTTGTATATCTTGGCATCATAGGAAGGCAAACATTTTTGTATTGCCTAGAGTTGCACAGAATCTGGCTGAGTAAAGCAGAAGCTATACAGTTCAAAATGACAAACTCCTGCTTTCTAAGATGAATAGTATGAGACCTCTGCAGGAACATAAGCATTCATTTCTCTGAGATTTATAGTAAGCTGTCAGAAATGGTATCTCACACGCAAAGAAAACTTTCACTTACTCCAGAGTGTAATTCTGCTCCCATGTGCAAAATGACATCAAATATTCTTCAGCCTCAGGACCCCAAAACAACCTTTCCATGTACCTCCTAGAAACTGGTCATTTACCTAGGCTGATTCAAGTCACCAAGACCATTCAGATACAGAATGAAATCTGGATCAGCCTACATGCCTATGAATCCCAAGATTTTGGCTGTTTTAGCAAGTAGTTTTTCAGTCAAGCCTGTTAGAGGCTAGGCAGCATTTTCTATAAAGGGGAAAAAAAATGTAATTTAATGATTACTCAACTCATTTTGAAACATGAAGAGATGCCTAATTAGATTGTAGCTGGCAATTATATCTGTAGGCATTACATAATTAATCACTTGATGTAGCTGTTCTTTCAGATAAATACTCCTAAAAACATTCCTGAGAACATACAGATATAACTGCTTCAGTTAAACACGTACAATATGCACACCACCATGAAGTTTCTCCAGATAGCTAAAATTACAGACATTGCAAAGCATTCTTTATTCTAAGGCAGTTCACTCTGCCGGCTACACTATGAAGCACCTGGGAAGACAAAACATTGCAACAGAACCAGGTGTATGGGCCTCCCTCTCCCTGCAAATATCTGCTGGAAAGAAGCAGTTCCTGGAGTGGGAGCAGCTGTCCCCTGCTTGGAGAAGCCCATCTCTAAACACTCTGACAGACCACAGAAGCCAGTGTCCAACATTCCTTTGTACTAATTAGTTTCCCTCCACATTCAGTTTTTTAGGACAATGCAGTGGGAGGAAGAGGGCAGAGCAATTTCATACAGCTAAGGTCCTATTTTACACTTCATTGCATTGCAACACAGCTTAATGGACTGGCAACAAG